CATACCAAAACACAGAAGTCTTTACCCCACCCTAAGTGATCTCCTGAAACTGTTCTGGAAAAACTGACACAGGTAAGTGAAAAATCTAATACCACTAGACTTTTTAGATGAGTCAAATCCTCCCTTGTTTTACAGAATATGTAAATAAGATATGCCATTGCATTTGCAGACCAAAGCCACTTGTGGCTCATGCTCTGCTTTTTCTGCAAAGAACTGAAGGCAGACCTAGAACTTACGAAATCTTAAATTCTCCTATGATCAGGCACAAAGTCTGGGCTTTTTTTTTTTTTTGACTAGACAAAGGCCAAACACCCCAGTTTTCCAATCTAGAGCTCCAGTTCTATCTTGTTCAAGAATTTGCATCTTGAAAGGCTCCTATAAACTAATCTGGAGGAACAGATATTAAACAAAGTGCTAGATATGTAAGGAATAAGAACGCAATGCTATGGAATATCTCCTTTTAATTTCTGATACTTTAAAATTAGCAGATGCTCCGAAGCTTAAGCTTTAACTGAATGTCAACCTTGTTGTGTGTTTGCTTGCTTTTTCTTTAAACAGAAATGAGAAATATATGTTTCAATGAAATGTACATTTCACTACAGTGTTTCTGAACAAGCTCTTTTCACTTTTTCAAAGGCACAGTGTTTTTATACTACCAAAAAAAGGAAGCAGAAAAACCTGATACATTCTCTGTAATCATACTGTCATCATCAGTTTTATTTCCTTTTCTAATTATGCAGTCAAGCAGCTACTGTACACAGAGCCCCTATGGCACTTTTCATAATGATATTAAACACTGTCTTGCTTTAGCTTCCCCCTCATCCAAAATTCATGCAGAACTTCAAAGAACATTAACATTATCTCTAAGTGGGAATGATAAAGTCATGGCAGCGATTTCAACCTGAGGTCACAAATTTTGCTTCATACCCCATTATTGCACCTCCAAGAATTGGAAGACCAGAAGGAAAGAAACTGGTAGTGTGCAACATTGGTATGACCTTAAGCTACAAGCCTTTAAAACCCAAGGAAACTCAAACAATATCTCGTTTTACTCCAAACCCTACAGACACTTGTCTGACTACTGGAGCAGTAAGGTCTCCACACCAAACTGAAACCAGCAGAGACATGGAAATCAACTCCCAGTTTCCAGTATTTTCCCACTTCAACTTCATATTTGAATTTAATATGTTAAGCACCCTTAAAAGGCAAATTATTTAAGGTTGCATTTCAAAACCAAGTCCCATCACTGGCAAACTTACATAAGAGTTAAAATCCCTTTAATGCTATTTGATACAAAAAGCCAATTCTTGGAAACTTACAGCAAAAAAGCTGAACAATTTTAAACCTCAACTGGTTCTAGGAAATCTGATTTTATAGGAAAAGCAGATGTTCTTCTACTTCACCAACTCCAGCCACTCAAAATGCATAGCTGACCTGCTTCCTATCCAGATGTTTGAGTACCAAGAAACTGCATTATGTTATCTGAAAGGCTCAAAAATCCAGTAGGATCTGTGAAGAATGACCAATGAACAATAGCAAAAAAGACAAAATGGTCCAAAAGACAAGTTCAACCTGACAGTACAATCCCATCAAGGGAAAACACCCTCTCCTAAATAAAACAAAAAAACCAAGGCAATTTGAGTCCTCTCACTATGAGGCCTGCAAAGGCACTGAGAAGGTAGGACAACATGTTTTTACCAGATGCTCCACTAGACAAGAATCCTGCTGACACAGGCCTAAGGACCAACCCCCTCCCATCCCTACTCCTTTGATCCCATGTCATCTTTATGACTGCCTGTGCCTGGCTTATAAGGAGACCCTCCTTTCATACTTAGTTCTTTCCTAAAGTTTGTGAATTGCCCTAACACAAAACTGTTTTAAAGTCATATTTGTAGACTTGGAGGATGAAAGTCTGAGCCACAGGACTTCACTGACACTTAAATAGTGTAGCTGAAGGCCTCGAACCCATTTCAAAGATGTTAGACTTGAGTCTTGGAATGAAGTTCTTATCTTCAACTTGGAGCACTCAGGTTTTAGACCCAGCCTAACCCACAGCTATTCTGACAGAGGCACTTTTCTGATGCATTATTTCTAAAAGCCTGCTCCAAGAAAGAATATATACAAATTACATTCCTTTATTTTCTGTTTAAAAGCATGAATGCTATACCAAAATGCTCCACACCAAGTCAGTTCACCTAAAATAATTTTTCCAACTCTTTTTCTAGTCCCAATAATAGAAAATTCCAAGCACTATTTAAAAAAGAGCTATATCCACACCTACTAGAGAAAATTAAGATGAATGCAAAGCTTCCATCTGATGAGGAACATAGAGGGACATAAAGGCTGTCTCCCTGGAAGCTGGGAATTCAGAAGCAATTAGGGCAAAAACTCTTCATACCTTCTGCGTCTGAATACTGGAACAGAGGAGTATGTTTGCACATACCATTCAATAGCTTTGTTTTCTTCAATGGTTCTTAAGATTAGTGAAAATGGCAGAGAGAGACATTAATTTCGCCTTCATTTTCAACCACTGTAATAACCAAAAGCTTCAACAAGACAAAGATAAATTTATCCTGCTTCTGCAAGTATTAGTAGTCACAAATATTGAAAACCAAGACTTTATATTAAAGCACAGTGATAAAAAAGGGTATGGTCATCCTCAGGGGAAAAATACCAACAGAAGTTTCAACCTATATTAAGCACAGAAAGGTAAACTTCTGAGTCATTCACATGCTATTTAGGGTCACAGCACATATTTGTCGAGGATCTCCACATAGTAAATAAATGCAAGGCTCAGTAATTTAACTCTGTCAAAGAGATTTTTTTTTTCTTCTCGACTGGAATGACTTAAGGAGGTCACAAGTAAGAAAGCAACAGGAATAGAATTTTGTATTTTCTTGGCTCAAATGATAAAAACATAAACCACAATACAATGTGTACAACTCAGGTTTTCAAGGAAAACGCCTTCAAGCTCAAGAGCAGCTAGCAGCTTGTCTCTATTTGCCATCACTCTAGATCAGAAGAGCCCACATGCTTTTTTTTCCTTTCCTGCCCCTTTCAGTTACACTTGAGCTCTTTGACTGAAAAGGTCTGGAACAGATTAAAAGTCCGACCACAAAATAAAGAGCCTTGGCATGTACTCAAGCCTGTCTGGGATACACATACACAGTGGGCCCAAAAAGGGAAGCTATGCAGCAAGAAACCCTTAATCAGTCTTTTGGACATTTCCAACTTCTTTCAGTTTAACTGCACAGCCTTAACATTTGATAGAGTTTCAGTGTGCACAAGACAAGCAGCTTTTGCCCCTTCAGTTGGACCACTCTATTTACAGGAATACAACATAATTGTGAGAAGCAAGATTCATCTCACTCACAACCTCTGTCCATTAAAACATTTTCCACATCCCTTTTTAATTCCAGTTCATCTTTGGAAATGATAAAGTAATGCATGTAAAGAAAAACAGCTACCCTGCAAGATTACCTGAGTAAATGAAATTGCAAAAGGCAACAGTGATTTTCAAAATGACTGCCTCCTTTTCAGCCTTACTCACATACTAAGTAATTGTGAAGTTGCAAATTACCCACACACTCCTCTTGCAACGTGCAAACAAGTCTGTAGCTCTGGCTGGTGTTAAAGCCAGCATGGACATTTGCCAAAGCTGACACCCCACCTTTGGGCTCATGTTGCATAGTGGTTCAACCTGTCTACAAACTGGTGAGCAGTTTGTAAACAAAGTGTGACAATCTCGTGTTCTCCATAAGAGTAAATGGATCTTGTAAGTAGGCACTCAAGCCTACAAACCAAAATGCAGAATTTCTAGCAGACATTTCAGAAAACAAAACAGAAAAGTGACTGTTGAATTTTGTAGCTCTGTATTTATATGGCATTCATGGAGTTAATGCCTCTCCCAGAAGGGGCCCACAGTTGTTGTTAGGTCAACCCCTGTAAAGCTTCAAAGGTTTTGCATCCCCTCAGCCTGACCTACTCAGTGATCTGCACACTGTTTTCATTTAGCTGCACTGAGTCCAAAAGTAAAGCCTGAAAACCACAATGATCTCTTTTTTTTTTTTTTTTTCACTCCTACTGTTAGTCCATGGCTCTGGAAAAATAACTAAAATCCAAAGGAGCTGAAAATAGTAAGTTATTGGGAAAACAAATCAAGGACAAGCTAATAAGGCTGACACCCACAGGTCATGGCTTTAACCAGAAACCAGAATTTTAACACCATACAAAATACATCACTTGGATAATCTATGAAAGTATTTGAGAGTCTTCACATTATATGTGATTTCTATTCATAGTTATCAGTGCCAATTTTTATTGAAAAGTTTGCAGTTCTATGAAAAATATAATTGAAAACAATTGCATAAAAGTTCTGCTTTGTTTAATTTCTCCATCTAGACTTTGTGATCATTAAGTCACTATTTCTATTTCCAATATGACATAGTCTTTATCCAACAAATGTTATTAAAGTAGGAGCAACAAAACTAATAATTTCTCATCATATTGTTTAATATAGAAAATTTTGTCATGATAATCACTGTGACAAGCTGGAATTATAAGCTGGTATATGTTTCAAGTGTATTTAAACAACATGAACTATTATCTGACAATGCCCTCTTAAGATAGCACAAAGGAAAATAAATATTTGTTTAGGAATTAAAATAGTCTTCTGTGGTAAAGTTTTGTTAATTTAAAGGGACGAGTGAGCTTGACTGAAACTGTCTCAATAAGTAATTTCTGAATGTCACTACTTTGGGGAACTGTATGGATCATGTGGCAAAACACCAACCCGTAGCATTAGAAACTTGGGTAATATAAGATCCTGAAGGATACAAACTAATAGTTTTTATAAAAAAAAAAAAAGTTATTTAAATAAGGCCTCTACAACTCAAAATATATTTTAATTGTACTATAAAAAGTTTTCAAAATATGCCTGCAAAATTAAAGCTGAGTGAACTGAAGCAAATCAAGAATTCTGAATTGAGATGAACTTTTACCAAAGCGTGGGTCAAGCCTTGGGTCTAGCCAAGATGTGGTCTTGTTCTTATGGTTTATGTAGTAAATTTCTCCATCCTGGGTCATAGCTTGTTCCCATCCATCGGGGAGTGGGCCTGCAATATAGAAGGAAGGAGTTGATGGCGGGCTCTTGTTTGCTCCTGCTGAAATTGATCTAAAAAATATTTTAACATTCTACATATATAACAATACATGAAACAGAAGAGTTTCAAGCTCTTTTCTGGGATTAAGGGCAAAGAAGTGCTGGGTGAGAAACCAAGGAACAGGAAACACTTCTATAATTTTTATTTAGGATTTGGACTTTAATTTTCAAACTTGTTTGTATCCTTTCATATCCTTTGACACATCATTTTGCTATAGCATTTTAGTATAAAACCAGCAATAAGTCAAGCCTGCCAGAATGAAACCAGCATGTGCACCAGGAAAAAGAAGCAGAGAATAATTCTACCTCTCACAGAAAAGTTCATCTAGTGATTAAGACACAGCAGCAGCAACAAGCTAACACTGAGGAGATCCTGAAATATTCCTGTCTTTCACAAACAATTAAAAACGGAAGTGACAAAACTCATTTCCTCTTTACCTCATACTCTAACTTTCGGTGAAAGCATTCAAGGCTTAAGCAGACAAAAATGCAAACCTGAAGAACAAGGCAGGCAAACAAGCAATGACAGAGCAAAGGTAAAGAAACACCATGAGCAGTCACAAAGACACAGGACTATGAACAGCAGTGCAACACCTCTACAAGCAGAAAGGCACACACAGGAAAAACTACTTCTAGAATATGGTCAAAGGGAGGTATATAATGAAGGTGTGGAGTCCACAGTTGATGTCTGAACATAGCCTGAGGAATGGTTCCCATATGTTCCCATCAGCAGCTTTCAAGAAACTACCTTTCATTCCTATACAGCTCTTAAACCCCTTGTTCCCATCTCTATATGGTCACGTACATTCACCCACACATTTGCTTAGACTGAAAACCATTTCAAAAGATGATATTTATCTCATCTTATCTGGAAGGTGCTTTACAAATATATGGTTTTGAATTTTTATGCTCACATTGACACGGACTTTTAAAAAGGTCTAAATTAGATACAGGAAGACCTTCCCTGTATTTTAGATTTAAGTACAATCCTCAAATTATACAACAAAAGATTCACTACACATGTTAAGAATGTAAAAGAAATTAGAACAAAACCTGCTGTAGCAGCAAGCCATTGTATTTCAAGTTCTTCTACTCTTCCTCAGTGAAATAAAATGATAAAACAGCAGAAGCCATCTGGGTGTTAGACTAACAGATTATTCTGTATAATGTAAGACACACTAAGTATACACAAATATCATTATTTCAAACATGTGATTCAGGTACACCCAAAAATATGTGCCCATCTGATTAATGTCTACAACATCCATCTTCAAACTACATTAGCTCTTGACTGTAACTTTGTCTTGAAGTCATGCTCTTGCTGAAGAATTCAGTCTAAAGCTGGGAGAAGAGGTGGGGAGGATAGATTAGTTTGCTTAATTTCAAAAGATGTTCTTGGAGAAATGTCAAAATTAATAAAAAATAATTGAATTGCATTCCAGTAATATCCCAAGGCATAATCAGGACAAGAATTTCTTACCGTGGTATTTGAAGATCCCTAGTAAACTACATTTCTAATTTAAACTTTCATTTTGGCTCAGAAAACAAAGCCCTTCTCTATTAACTTCACTATTCCATCATTGGTGCTACAGATGAATCTCAACTGAGGAAAAACAGTGAACACCAGGCATTTTCTTCCCACCTGTAATGCTCTAAATGTTGCCTACAAGTAACGCATACCTCAGTTTTATCAGAAGCCGAACAGAACAGGCAAGAAAGAGTGACAATACTGCACAAATGATGCTTAAACCCTAAGATACTCACTTGTACAAAAGGACTTTGATGGAGAAATTAAAGCTCCAGTGCAAAGAACGCAGTACTTTTTTACCATACCCAAAGACCAGCCAGCTAACCAGTGAGATGTTTTTTTACAAAAAAACAGGAGCACAGAGACATGTCCCCCATCATCCAAATGTAGAAGTCAATGAAGAACCAAACTGACTCCTTTACTGCTGAGCCAACATGCTAGCCATGCAGGCAGACCTTCTCACTACAACTCTCCTCAGTCCTGCTAAGCCATACATGCCTTGGAAAAACTCAGCAAGAAATTCTTTGTGAAATTCAAAGCCAGAAAAACCCTCCTTGGCTTTAAGAAAAACAAAATCAGCCTTGCGGTGTCAGTCCTGCTGAACACTGAAATCTGTACTGGTCCAGCATGTTCCTTTGTAGCAAGTAAGAACAAAATGCCTTTGAAGAAGGCTGCCAGGAGCTGATCAGTCCATCCACCCGGTGGAATAATGCTACTTAAAGAGATTCAGTGATCTGATGAGTACTAGCTTACTACTAGAGACAAACCTGGGCAAGGTTCTCTTTCTAAATAAAATGCACAGCTGTGGAACAGGACAAAAAGGTCCATCTGCTCACCTGGCTGTCACAGCAGCAAGCCTTCCTTGCTAAGTGCTTCTGCTAACTGCAGAAGCAGAGCTTTTATCTCTGGAAACTTTTGGCATTAATAATGTAGCTTGCTTCCTTGGACAATAAACTGCTCTCATGTTTCTGTTATCATCATTACATACTGAAAAGGCAGTTCAAAAATTGAAATTATTGTCTTCTGTAATTCCTGTCTGGTTTTGTGAGTAATTGTGAAACTAGAAGACAGGGCTGATTTTCTAAAGGGTCACTTGACAAAGTCTGTATTTGAGGCAACTACCAGAGGAAAGAACTAAACCCATGTTGAAGAATAGGAGACACATTCACCCAGAGCATCTAGGAAAATTCCTTTGCAATTAGAGGCCCATTTCCTCCCAAAAGTCTGAATAGGAACAGAATTTTCAGTGTTAGATAACCTAGGTCACAAAAGCTGAGTCCTATATTGCTGCTACTCAGACCTTCTCACTAAAATTTCCACAGTTACTGTAGCTCATGTTGTATAGAAACAGCAATACTGGGTCTAACCAAAATTCAATTTAGTCCAGGCATCTAGCCTGGGGTGATGGACAGACCTTGTTGGCTCATGAAAGTAGCCCATTTAGTGACTATCACACTCTATAAACTTTTAAATAAAGCACTGAATACATATAGAGGTATAGAGGCTATGAATAGTCACTTGGCCTCCAAGTATGTTGGGCAGTGGAACAGGCTCCTCGGGGGCGTGGACATAGCCCCAGTCCTGACAGAGCTCAAGAAGTGTTTGGACAATGGTCTCAATGGTGTGACTCTTGGGGATGTCCTGCAAGGGCCAGGAGTTGGACTCAATGATCCTTGTAGGTCCCATCCAAATCAGGATATTCTGTGATTTTATTACAAGTTATTCCTTGGGCCAGTTTCTGTCTGCTTACTAAGTGCCAAAGTATCTCTCAAGTATTTCTCCAGTCTCCCCTCCAACTTTTGTAAATATTTAGCATAAACAGTATCCCTGTGACTGGTCCCCATTACTCGTTCTGTTGGGTGCCTCCTACGACAACTGAACACTATCACAACTGTAAGTTTAGAATTCTATGAAATAATTTGCACAGGGAGACACAACCCTTCTAGGCAGGGAACTCAGCTTGCACTGTGGTACTTTTGAGGACAAAGTTACCAAAAAATTAAATTCTAATTTCCAAATGTAAGCCAGCTTTCCAGAACTACTGGTAAGCCATACCTCTGTAACTAAATATTTATATAACGGTGTAACTTCATATAAATAACATGTAATTTTAAAAGCCTGTGTGCATGTCTCTTTGGTGCATGTCTCCACTTTTTGTGAGGTTTTTTTTTTTTTTTAACTTTCTCATATGCCATGGAATCTGGAATGCAAAGCAGAGCTTGCTGCTGGCAGATAGAAAGCAACTGGAAGAGTAACATAAGCAAAAAAGTAGTAGAGATTCACCCTATACTGGGATAAGAAGAGAATCTTGCAAGACTCTACTTATTTTTAAAACTAATGTAAACAAAGCCATATTTTATCAACAGGTTTCTATTCCTTCCTTCCCACCTGTCCCCTGAGAGTTACGAATTCAAGTGTCCATTTTCTTACCAACATCTAAAATGGCACTGCAGCCTTACCTTGAGAGACAATGGAATTGTACTAGGTCTACAAACTTTCACTGGGAAACTCAATTCAAAACTGTCACATAAGAATGAAGACAAAAGAGGACAAAGACACATAATCTGCCCCAAAGCTAATTATCTAAGGTCTATGCGCAAGAGGAAGAGGCTAAAGTATGCAGTGCTGTCAAGCATTATTCAAACATGATTCAGAAAGCAAAAGCATCTGAAGAACAGAAATACATAAATATAATTATCCCATCTCTGTTGTATCAACTGTAATTGTACACAAAACAGCCATTGTTTATTTTTAAATGTATAACTTTACCTCGGTAGGAAATGTATAGGAGATGTTCCTAAGAAGAACAGCATACCATTATTGCTACCTTTTTGTTTGTTTGTTTTAAATCAAGGCAGAAGAAACTATGTTCTTTTTTTCTGTTCTCTCTGTTTTCCTTTAGGGAAAAATTATTAGAAACATAATGTAAAAAAATGAGAAGTCACAATGACTTTTTATATACATGTGGCATATTTGCAAATAACAGGCTTGTTTCCTTTCCACTACTGAAGTGAAGATGCAATCCTATTTCACAGATTAACTAACAAATGCCATCTAACAGAGCACTGTTATACAGCCCAAACTATTTCAGCTGATTACTTGTAGCAACTAAGTTAAGAAAGACAGACAAAAAACCCCTCACTTTTCATACACTGATGACTTCCTATAAAGGATGTAGCTAACTAACACTCACAGAATAACTAGTTCACAAAAGTCACGCCTGGAACAGATAAAATTGGTTCAACTGTTCATTAACTTCCTTGAAGAAATGTAATTTACAGCAAGATACCTAAGTGCCTCAAGAGATGGAATTTCTTAAGACAGATAACCTAAAGATTTCAATCTCATGCTAAACTACATCTTTCCCATTTTTGTATTTTAACAATCTTTTGACTTGCCCTCATCACATCTTTCTTGAGTTCGTCTTTCCCTATTTATCCAAAAAGACAACGGGTTGATCTCCAATACGTACACATCAGCTTTCACAATTCTCTCTGCAGCTTCAGTTTGTTTTACTGTTCGTAATTCTTGCTAATGTCATGAACTTTAATTCTGGCTAAATGGTTAAAGCTTCTAAAGGTTGTCATGTCAGCTCCCAGAAATCTCTCCTATGTTTCAGCACAGTAACTTGACTTACAGGCTCCTGAGGCAGTACAGTAGAACCTAGACAGTAACTTCAAGGGCTAAAATTAATGAGCACCATACAAAGTCTATACAGAAAGGAAAATAGTCTCCTTTGTGGCATCTCAGACACTTTTTTGCAAGTCAGTGATTTCCAGCTGTCACAATACTTACACTCGTTTTTTCCCAATATCTTTCATGAAAGGCTCTCATGCACTAGGGTATGTTTCACTGCCAGTGATATTTCATAACAGGAAACTTCTGTCTTTAAGGTCTCAGCTTGATTTCTCGAGGATGAATGCCCAAATTAGAACATTAAGTAGTCTTAAATCTGAGTGCCAACATCATGACTGTAAGTTCCACTGTGCTGAAGTGGTACATAGTTACTTGACTTTTCCATTTCTCTCAAAGATTATTCAAGAGGCTACCAAGGAAGCATAAGCTACCATGAACTCAGTAATAAAAAGTAACAAAACTAAGTATAAGAGACTTTAGTAAAAACAAATATACAATCATAATTTAAACTTAGTACATAAACATTTGCCAGATCAAGTATCAGAATCACACCCAATAAATGCAGGTTCGGTATTATTTAATTCAAAACAGACTTTTGTTAATAGCAAATAAGGGTAAGCCAGTGCATCCAGACAGTCAGCTCCAAGTCATACTACCTCAATTAACTTAAGCTTAAAAAAACCTAACTCCACAGAACATGTGATGTAATTCAGTATACACAGGAGTTCTGAGTCCTTCATGCACTTTATCAGTCTCAGAGCACTTGGGTGAAAAATGCTTCTCAGGATTTTTAACTGATATTCAACACAGTATCATCTGTGAAATTAAAAATAAATGTTCAATGAACTTGTATCCAAGTGCTTTCTCAAATCACAAGACAACCCACTTGCACATTTCAACTGTTCTTTACTGCACAAACAACAATATCCATGCAGCATCACTCTCTCACACAACTACATCAGGCAATTACATGTCAATTTTCTTTTAAAAATAATCCATGTGTCCAGATTGCTAGCTTCTTTTCTAGTTTGTTACCACCGTGTTACAACTTAAAAGTACATTTTTTTTTGCTAAGGACCCTTCATTTCTAAGTACATAAAGTGATTCCTACTTTACTATCAGTATTTTTTCCTGTCAATTCTTGGTACAACGGCAGGTTTGAGGAGTTATCTTAAAATACAGAATTTATGTCAATATTGAAACAGCAGGCATCTAGTTTTAGCACAAATAAGCCAAAAGGCAGGACAGACCAAGGGAATTGTTTCCTTTCTCCTATTCTCCCTCCTTTAGAAGTGTCCCTACAAAAACATGCCACCTCTATTGCTGCAGGTTTCCTGGGATAAATTTACACAGAAAATAATCACACTGTTTTATTTTCACATCAGGGCCTGAGACCTTAATTGCTGTGAATCACGACTTCCTGAACTTGAACAGGACTCATTTGTTTCAGGATAATCCAGCCTCCTGGCCTAGCCAGCAAAAAGTTTGATTAACTTCCCCTCTAATACTCAGTCATGAACAGCACAGTTTGGTCACGCCTGTTAATCTTTTGGTATTGTCTGCAGCACATGAATTGCAGCATGAAACAAAGCTGTCTAAACAGACCACAAAAAGCAGCACCAGAGAATAACCCTTGGGAAGTACAGGAACAGCAGACACACACAAAATACAGTCAGACTGTGAGAAAATAAATATAACATGAACCTCAGTGACAGACAGGAGGTGACAAAGCAAGGGCAAGACCAAGTACTCAAACAAGCATGGCACCAACTCTATCTGCTTGCTCTCTGCATAATCAGAGATGAGAGAGCTCTGAAAACACACAGCAGATTCTATAGCAAGAACAAGAACTAACTGTTGTCTAGTGAGAGTGGCCCCTGCCGCCAGCTGAAAAACAATTCCATATTCCAGGAAAAGACAACAGACTTCCTCCACCTAGACCAATAATGATCATGATACTGCATTTCACAAGTAACAGAAACACAAGAGGAAAACAAAAAACATCTCTGCTTCTAAACAAGATTTTCAAGGTATTTGCTTGATCCTTTTAGGGAGGACAGGAAAAAATTATATGTTCATATTAAATGTAGGAAATGTAAATAAATAGTAGTATAACATGTCTAGTCAGTGAGCAAATGGAGGCAGAAGAACACTGTGAAGCACAAAAGCTTTAATGAAAATTGATATTAATTGAATGGAAATTCTGGTCTTCATCAATTTAACAGTATTTTGTGGTCAGAAGAAAATAGACAAAAATTCTGGTTCCTTATAACTTTGAACCAATCATTTGAAAAAATAAAAACATAAATCAAAGAACTACAGTGTTCTTTTTATTGACAACGTAAGTATTATACAAATTCTGTTATTTCAACTATCAGCCTCTTGCTTGATGAATCAGGCATCAACAAATGTAAAGTTTCAAACCAGGATAACTAGAAGATCATTTATTAAATCTGGACTCCCTACCCCCTGATTAGAATAGCTTGTGGTTTACTTGTATGATCTTTTTCATAAATACAAATTTTGCTTACCTGATGCTGAGTTCATGATGTTCTGCTGCACAGAAGGACTGGTGGGAGCTGTAACATTCATCTGGGAAAGCATGGCCTTCCTAGGATCTTGCCATGTTGTTGTTTGATCAATGTGACTAGGACAAAACAAAGCAAGAGTTAGGACAGTCATGCATTCACAATGCTAGCACAGGAAGTTTAACAACAAAAGGTTAATAAGCTTGCCAACAACAGCCACATTCAAAACCAAACAAGAACTGTTTGGATTTTCTCCAAGCATCACTGTATGTCAGATTCTCAAACCCTTGCCCTGGCCACCACTAGTTTCCCAACCAACAGCTGCAGCAACCAGAGCTAGAGCAATGGTTAGATAAGGTTCATCATGAATACCATAATCTAAACTGTTGTACCATAACTAGATGTTGTACCCTGGAACAAAGCATTTGCTTCCTTCTCCCTTTGATCACTTACTTGCCATTTTTAAATGTGTCTTCACAGATTTTCAAACCAAGCCAGTTATGTCTGGAATGTCAAACACAGTCCAGTACCTCAGCATGATGAGTTCATATTCAGGGCCTAGGGAGCAGTAATGAACTGGCTAGTATGCAATCATTAGTGTTCCCAAACTTTCTGTGCATAGACCACATCCTCAGATTACCGGAGAGACTACTCTCCTCCCCACTGACACCTGAACAAGCTCTCTGTGGTAGCTGAAGTAACCAGTCACACTAAAGCAGTAATGTGAAAGGAATGTGCAGCTGCCTTTCAACTTCAAGCAAAAAGATGAGGACAGTGGGACTGTCAAGTAATCCGCCCAGCCCTCTGCAAAACTGTGGAAGCTTAGATTTCTCCGTTTTGAAAAAAATGGCAAGTACATTCACGACTGTCATTCATGGAAGTATTCAATTCAACGGGAATACAAAAGTGTAATGAATCATTATTTTACTTTTTGGAGTATGTGATTAGCATGTTTTGCTAATGAGCAACAGATGCAGTCTATTCATAATAAGTATCAACAATATCTTCATGCCATTAAGCAACTCTGCTCTGAGAAGTACATGGGGAAGAAGCTACAACTCCAAATGCACATGAACACTGACAACAAAATCTGTTATCCAATTATTCAAAACTGGTATAAATTAAAAATCATATTCACATAGTATTGTTATAAATTAGAATGCAAGGCACTATTAACTTGGTACCATTCTTTCTTTAAATAAATTATCCTTAAAATTATGCTTTTCTGGATTACATGGAACGCCCATTTTCATATTCTTCAGCAAAATCACAACAAGTAACGAATTCAGAAGAACATAAAATAAAGCAGTAGTCACCAAAATAATTACTTATGTCAAAATACCTATCACATTCTAATTTTGTTACAAGGTATACATACCACAAACTAGCTTTTAAAAAAGTTTTAAGATACGTATATTAACATTCTCTTAACATGCACATAAGCAATTTCAGACCAAAGAGGTACAGACACACTGTAAAAACCAGCACATACTCATTTAATGCAGTATGTACTTGTTTTGTCTGGGGTAAAGGTTATTTAGGTTATTTTCTTCACCATGGCTAGTACTGGGCTATGTTTTGGATGAACCTGACCTCCCTCTGATCATCACACCAATAAATTATGTTTGATAGCTGGTGTTAAACCTCAACAAGATACTATTAAGCACACTGCATCTTTGGTTGCGCAGGTTTTCAAATATTCAGCTTCACTGAAAAACATGCCACATACAGCAAGACTTCTTTATTTCTTTTTAAAGCCTATTTATTTATAAAACATGGTGCAACATAGTAAAGACTGCCCTATATATAAACCTTCATACTGGAGAACAATTTTTCACTTTTCTGCTGGTCAGTTTTGCAAAGCAATGAAAACAGGTAAAGATAATACAGATGTAAAAACACTGCACTGTAATGCTTCACAGACCGTGTGTTTAAATTACTGTACCAGCATGTGCCACTCCTCCCTTACATTTCTGATTTGTTATATTTGCTCAGCTCAGTTCTGGCAATAGTGGAAACTGGGAAAACATGACTGTACCCATAATAACGCATTCACCTATTCCCATTTAACTCTTATGAAAATCCATGTAACACTATGAACTAAAAAAATGCAAGGTACATAATTTATAGCCTTTGTTTTTATATGCTATTTGAGTGCAGAGTAAGAAATAGAAGGAAAAATGTTTTCTGCCTGCATTACATAACCATTTCTACAGTTAACTGTAGGAACGCACTGAAACATTCATCAATTTTTCAAAACACATCTGATCATGGGACAGATGAATGGTCTATGGAAGAAGCAGTTTTAGATGTACCTCCAGTTCTGAGCACAAGGACAGCATTATCAATTCCTCAAGACAGCTTAAGCACACCACGTAATGTACAATGTTCATATGGAGTTGTTAACAAGGATAGCTATTTTAGGCAGTAGCAGCTTCTGGCTTTTCCCTAGCTCAGTATCACTTGAGAAAAGTCAGCATGTTCCTTACGTGACCAGCTGAACTACAATCAGCAGTCTTAGAGCCAAGAGCCATGGAGAAAAAGCTTCTAAGTAAGCAAGCTGATTATATTAATATTATACTGACCATATGACTGGTCCAATAAGGCAAAATTTTTTTCTCTCCTACTCAGCTCAGTGCTTCATGACCTACACATCCATTTCCTCTACACCTTCCCTCAAAACTTTTCTCCTCAACCTCCATCAAATCACAGTCCTCATATCTTGCCTGCTTCATATCCTCAGTGTTTGAATACTGTATACTAAGAAAGCACCCAAAACACTTCACAACAGATCAGTTCTTTCCTATAAATTCCAAATAATGTTCAGCTGATGGAATACAAAGTAGGCAAGCCCTCACTTATATGGATGAAATGTTTAAATAAATCCTAGTACTACATGGAGGAATATAGGAATTAATTTTCTTCCTATTCGCAGCACGTGGAGCAGGATAACTTACTATAAACACCATGTATTTCTAATTATCAACTTAAGTATTGAAACAGGACATTCTCCATAGGTAAAGATCTTTCCCTCTGTTTTGAATAGCAGCACAGAAAACGTCTCAATGGACATAACAAGAACTGACATCAAGACTGTTTTATCTTTCCCTGCATTAAGTAGATTTTTCTCATAGTAGCTGAATTACATGACAACTGCTCCAATCCTTAAAGATCTATTTTACATGAGCTTCACCATATCTCAATAAGCAACTAGTGTCAACACAAATAAAATATTAAAAAATATTAGCAAATGATATGAAATCAATGTCACCTATAAATCACCCACTATATGTAGCTTGTATTATCAAATTAAAACATAAAATTCTACCTACTCAGGAATGAGAAACATAGCCCTGTACTGTGTGAACAGAACAGAGTAAATATTCCTGCAATTGAATCAACATCTCTAGGATAATCAAGCAATGTATGACATTTTCTTTCACATAATGAATTCTCAAATCTAACATATATCTTTCTGGCACTATTTTTTATTGTTCATTTATGTAACAGAGAAGTAAAACTTTAGTAAACTGGACAAACATAGTATAAACTAAGGAAATCAGATTGTACCATAAAGGTAGGTCTGTGGTAACAGGCCTTAGAAAAACAAAACTAAAACACCCACCACATGCTAAGCATTTGTTAGCAAACTTATGTGAATTCTAGTATCAAGAAGAGTGACTGTTCCAAGACACATCACTCACCATCCTCCACCAAAGGACTTTTAAAGTGGTGTGCATTACGAAGAGCACAAGCTGCATCTCCTCACCCATCTCCAAGTTCTACAGCCAAATACAAATTATTGACAAGAACAACTTCAAAGAAAAGAAAAATGTTCTCGTTTTATGTACACAAATAGAATTTCTGCAGTTACTAAGAATCAGAATTTAATTGAAAGAAATCTTCACTGGCATTACACACTATCATCACATGCCTGAAGATGTGTCAGATTCAAATTCTAACCTAATTTTAGAGTTTAAGGTTTGGGTTTGTTGTGGTGCTGGTTTTTTTGGGTTGTTGTTGTTTTTTGGGGTTTTTTTTTGTTTTTTTTTTTTTTGGGGGGGGGTTGAGGGGGAAGGGTGTTGAAGATTTTGTTTTGAGTTTTTGTTTGTGTTTTTTTTTTAATACATTGGAAAAAAAGCAGGAGACTAGAGACCTAAAAAAGAAAAGGAAATTTAGTTTTTATTTTAAGAACCCTTTGGATCCTAGCAGACTAATAAAATAACACAATTTTAAAAACAAAGCCCTTGCACAAAGTGTAATATACCTTCCCATTCATTCTCCAGTTGCTGCACTAAAGACATGTATCATTTTGTTAGAAGCCATGCCAGAAACAAACTAACACAAAAAAGACACTCCAAGAATTACTTAAATTCTTCAAGAAAGGCTTATTAAGGTCTAAGAGGTTTTGTTTTGACATTCTGTAGTATGTATTGTAACTACAGTGTCCCCATTGGCAGGTGCACTTTCCAGGGTATGCTGAGAACTTCATTTGTCTAACAGAAGTCCCAGTCATTACAAAATCATATGTCTTTCTCACTCTTTCTGCCTTTATTAGCATAGAGTCACCTTATATATGCTACATCATTTGCAATTAGAACTTCCCTTTCACAAAAACAGATCTTAGGATAGCCATTATTAACATAAGCAGGTCAGAACTGCAAGACTATTTTACTGAAGTGTGCAATAGAAATGTAATGTTAGTAAGAAAAGCAAATAAGAATGAACAAATATTCTAATCCTCAGTACCAGATGTCATACTGTATGAAATTTCTGCAACCAAAAAAAAAAAGAAAAAAAGAAAAAAAATAAAAGGTCTGATCTACACATAAAAGAATAGATAAAAATAAATAAACTGATGCTTCTCAGTACATTTGGACATGGCTCTTCCTAAAAGGACTTTTCAAAAATTTAGTCTCAAACACACAGAAGGACAAGTTTTTCCTAAGTATAAAAGCATCACTGTAAAAAACTATGCAAACATCCCTCCATAATGTAGTGCTTGTGTTTTAACAATCTAGACAAGACTTTATGTCTGTGAGAAAATTATTTTCAGTCTCAAGTGAACTTGAGATGACTAACCTTGGATTTTGGTTTTCAGATTTTTGGGACTGTTAAG